ACTAATGTTGATTTCAAAAAAGTAGAAATAAAATTCGTTGTTATTATGCAAGAAAGAATTAAGAATTCCTTAACATCAAACATATGTCCATAATAACGTATAACATGAATTGCATTATAAATATAGAAGAATATTAGAAAGGGAATCATATTAAATATAATCAAGGATATAAAGTTCATTTTTATATATTTTATTTTCTAATTTTCCCAAGTTTTGATTCCTTGTATTTTTATTGTTGTTTTTCGTATATAAGGTCCGAAATAAGAAACGAGTTATTTTAAATTATCCTTTTTTTGTTTTCTAAAACTAGATACTGAAATTATGTCAATTTTTTATGTTATACGTAAACACATAAACACATTTCATATTTATTCTCTTTAAATGTCTTATATCCTTTAGCAATAATGTTATACTTGAACTCAGTCGCGTGTCCCGTTTGAGTATATTTTTTTTTTTTTATAAAATTTAATGATACTATGACATTTTGTTTTGTTGTTTTTTTTTTTGGTAAGATCAAAATGTCCCATATTTTGATATGGCGCATGTTAATGTTATTTTTCTTTTGGCATACAAACTGTGATAGTTATATAATATAACAAAAACAAAAAAAAAGTGAAAAGAAGTGGCAAAATAAATATTACACATCATTTATTGAAACAAGAAAATAAACAAGTCATAACGATTTATAAAAATTAATAGAGAAAAAAAAAGGGTCCCATATTGGAATTTATTTGTATACATACAAACAATAAATACAATCCCATTTATCGGGACTTCAAAAGTGAAAGAAGAGAAACGAAAACAGCACAGTTTTGAATTTACAACAATATAAAAATAACAACCACAGATAAAAAATAGTAAAAAAAAAGAGAAATTCAAAATGAATGAAAAAAAGATGAGAAAAGTCATAAAAGGATAACAATGATGGCATTCAATTTTTTTTTTGTTTTGTTTTGTTCTTTTACTCATTTGTTTTTTTAACTTTTGTTTGTACGTCAGTATAATTCATTTATTGTTCCTTATCCATAACGGTTTTTAAGTGTTAACTTTTCGGGTATAACAAATACAATAACAACAAAAACAACACCAGAATAAAATTGAAGCAAATAAAAAGACAATAATAAGAAAAACCAAAAAAAAAATTAAGAAGAAGAAACAAACAAAATATTTTTTTTTTTTGTGTTAAAGGCGTTAAAAGGTCATGTTATACAAATAAAATAGGTAAATACTACTTATGTAAGTCATATACACATTCACATACATAGAGACGGAGTGGCGTATATTCATCAAAAAGGGTTTTTAAAGAATCATACCATAAAAGAGTAAATTTCTTTCCCGTTATCATCTCGCCTTTTTAAAAGACAAAAAAAAATAACAAAAATACTTATTCTTAAATGGGATGGGTGCTTAAAAATTACAATAGAATTGTTATTTAATTTAAAGGTTACGGTGGTAAAAATAAAAGTTGCCATCAATTTCACTTCTTGTGGTAAATAAGAAAGAAATTTTCTTTCAATTTTTAAAAAAAAAATATAAAAGTTTTTTTTTTTATTGTTCTGTGTATAAAAATGAAGCCAAAAATAAAAAAAAAAATAGGACGTAAATAGGAAAACGGAATAACGACTTTGTTAAATTAAGGGATGATGATGATCACACTTTTAAATTGATAAGAAGAAGAGGAGAATATGAAAGAAATACAGGAATAAGTAAATTGATGTTTGTATTTGAATAATAAAATTTTATTAATACATAGGTGTAAAAATAAGAAGGTGAAATAATTAAAGAGGAAATTAAAGTTAATTTTCAAAATATTTTTAATATCCTGAACAGTTTTATTATTTGAGCTAAAACAAAACGTTAATATTTTATTAATTAATTAAACCAAAATTAAAATTTAATTAGGTTATTATGTAAATTAGATATAATAATGCTTGAGTCATGTTTCGAGGTTGCGTAAATTTTAAAACCTTCTTTTAAACAAGAATATTGATGATTTGACCTAAATTAAATGTGCTCATTAAACACAATTAAAAGTCGTGTGTAGAAAGTAAAATTTAAAAACTTGAACTCTTATCAACTAATTAATTCGGACTGATGAATATATATGATGAATAGTTGGGAGTGTTATACACCATTAAGACAAAATTACTGTTAGACTAGATAAATAATTAAATTAAATTATTCTTATGAAAAATTATTCTTATTATAAAATTCAACATGATTTTTAAATTAAAAAACTTTTAATAAGCCAAGTAAATGAGTAGATAATTAGCACATATTTTTCACACTGAGATGATAAAATGGAAATTATTCATTATACCAAGAATTAGTTAGTAATTGGATTTAAAACAAATCTATAAACTGATAATTCTTAATAAAATTATAATTTTAATTTAATTAATTGGCAATAGCCTAACCATCCACAAGATTTTTGATGATTGTCACAAAATTTCAAGTATCAAAGCCAAAAAGTATAAAGTACACAATATTCAAGTCATGAAAAGTGAAGACAGAAGTAAGAAAAGGTTTTAAATTTTTTAAGGAACTATATGATTCTTTAATAAATTATTTATTACATATTGTATAATTATTTCTGTAAAATAATTAGCTGGACCAGATAAAATTCAAAATGGTTTTATAATAATTCTTTGACCTTTATAGGTCAATATAAAAACTTTTAATTAAATAAAAAAATAAATTTAATAAACATATTGAATTCATAATTTATAATTTCTGAATTAAATTAATAATCTGAGCCTAATATTAAAGTTTAATAAGGATAATCACAAATAAAAGCTTCCCTAGCCGAATTATAAATAACTATTATGCTGTTGTCTTTTTACAGAAACTCATTATCCTTTCGACTTGCCTTATTTTTCCAATAATGCATAAGAATGTGTGCATAAGAAATATTATATTAAATTTTAACATCTATTGCATATTTAAATCCATTTTTTAAATTTCTCAATAGTTTCTAGAGTTTTAAACAAATTTTAAATAAGACTTTAAAAAAAAATGTTCTAATTTTACTGTTCTTAACTTTTTATATTTAGACTATTGCTAATACATTCTACGTATACTATTAATAAAAAACATGTGCTATATACAAAGCGTCATGTAGTCTCTAAAATTTTGGCACATTTCTAAACTTATACTTATATATGTGTGCAATAATAATAAATTATGCAGATGTTTAAATACTTACACATATTTTAATTTAGAATAAGTTTAAATTATATTGATCGAATTGCAGATTTTTTTCACCCTTAGTATTTTAAATAATTTTGTGTATAAATGGGCCAGTATCTTATATTTATTATTGCTAATTACAATTATATATTTTATGTCAAAGAAGCTATTATAAATACAGAAATTTTAAGAAATTAATTTGTGAGATCTCATTCATATGAAGAGAAGGTTTCAATTTTAAATTTGGCCTAAAGTTGATCTTGAGCGATTAATATAAGAATGTTTTCAACAATATTATTATTCCATAATGTTTTAAGATTTCAACGTTCCCTTGACTCTTTTAGCTTATAAAATATTGAAGAATTTTTACGCAAAATTAGAAATAATTTTTTGGGATACTTACTTAATATATAAGAAAACAATTAAATGAATAAAATATTTAAATAAATGGTTATAACTGAAAAATAAATAAAATTTATTACGATAAAGTTATTATTATTATTTGATCAAATATAAAATCTCAACTAACTATACACAAATTATTATTTCTGATTTCACCTATTTGTTCAACTATTAAGTATACACAAATTAAGTTACATACACACTCATAATGTGCATAATTCTAATTATATACATATGTATACCGTATGCATGTATGTATGAATGCATATATTCAATTTTTAGTAATAAAATTGTATTTTTTCAAATTTATTTAATTAAAAAAGTGAAAAATATGCAAATTATGTATGAGGACAGTTTAGAAATCAATAAGTATAAGTCACTTTTCAATCAAAAATTAGTTGCTAATTGTAAGTAAAGAATGTTTTATTGTTACAAGTAGGTTTTTATGTATTTGACAAAAGTGGCAAGTTCATATATTTTAGAAATAAAAAATTGCCGTGATTTTGCTAAAAAGAAAAATTATTTTTCATAATTTCGCACCTTGAGAATAATACCGCAACATATCAAAAAATTGTTAATATTTCTCTATATTTGACTCCAAATCATGTAACGATACGTCAAAAATTACAGCTTTTATTTAAAATTTTCTTATATTTAAAAGTTCAGTTTTCGGACGACTTGTTTTAGAGTGTGTTTTTTGTTAAGCTCAATATTTTGTGATGTCATCAAAATTGAGAAAAGATTTCAATTTAATACGACGACATATTGAAATAGTATACGGTTTCCTTAAATCAGTTGCAGAAACATTTCGATTTATACCAATTTTATGAAAATATTTATTTTTTTTTTATTTTCAAATACAAAATTTTAAAAGCAATGCTAGTATTAGACAAAATGTTTCGATCTTTAATTTCTCGTATAAAAATAGCGTAAACTTCGAATGCAATTTAGACTCGAAACTGTAAATTTAGAGATGTAGAGAAGCGGTATTATTCTCAAGAAGCAATCTGAAAAAATAATTTTAAATTTTTACATTTAATTACAATGAATTTCAATGAATTGCAGAGAAATTTTTTTTAAAAACAAAACTTTTGCTGTTTTTAAATTTATTTCAAAACTTGTAATTTGGTGATTTGCACTGATTGATTTCTCCAATATATGTATACGATATGGAAGCCCTCAATATAAAGAAATTAATTTATGAGATCTCATTATTAAAAATATTTTTAAAAATACATTTATGAAATCATATAATAAAATAATTTTCAAGTAAATCAAAATAATATGGTGAAAAATATAAACAACCATTTTGAAAAATTAAAAACATTTTTTTTTGCTGAGGAAATTAAATAATTCGTAATCAATATTTTCCTAATCGAATTATAATACATTTTTAGTGTTGAACTCACCGCCATATTTTTTTGTTTGGATTTTGTTTTTCCGATTTTTTGTTTTCCAATTCTCTTTTTATATTTATTTTTTATGGTTTGTTTTTTATTTGTATGTGAAAATTTTTAACAAATAATTTTCTATTTTAAATTTAATTTTTATATGTTTGTATTTGTGTGTGTTTTATTTAATGTTTTCTTTTTTTTTTTACTTGTTATTTGTTTTTGTTATAATGCTCGTTTTTTTTTTCTTTTTTTTATAATTTAAATCCAATTAGTCAATTTCATTGCACATCTAAGAAAATAAATTACTTTAATTATCACTTGTTAAGGTCATTATTCATTAATCAACCCCTATAAGTAACTGTATATAACCAACTATATATTACATGTGTGTTTGTATGTATATAATATAAGCATATTGTAAGCATGTATATTTGCTATTAAATTTTGAAAAAAAAATTTTTTTATTGTTTTTTATTTTTATTATTTAATTTTAAATTTTTATTTTTTTTTTTATTTTTATTTTAGTTTTTAATGTTTTTTAAACCTAAAAAATAAAAAATGCACAATCAATAAAAATAAAAACCAAGGCACTGGTTTTTTTGTTTTACAAATTAGAATAAACCAAAAACTCATTCACAACACACTTAACATTTCTAAAATGAAAAAAAGAAAAGACCAAAAATTCAAACAATTAAATAAAATTACAAAAAAAAAAATAGAAAAAAAAATTAATAAAAAAAACTCTTTTATCACTCCAAGATATTGGGAAAAAAATTTTGATTTTTTATTTTTTTTTTGTTTAATCTTAAAAACAATTTGCAAAAATTTCAATATAAAAAAAATAAATAAAAAAAAACAAACACCAAACACTATTCGAATTTGAACTGACTGAGAGAACATTTAAAGAATTTTAATTTCAGTTCAGTAAAGTTCATATTAAGTATGTAAAAAACACTGAAAATAAAATAATAAAATTAAGAGAACACAAGGCAGAAGAAAATTTTACAAAGAAAATTCACAAAAAAAAAACACGAAATAACAACGAAATAAGAAAAACAAAGAAAATAAAGAAAAAAAAAACAACAAATACAAATACTGAACTCATTATTAGAGGAAAAACTCTGTTTTAAAACGTCATTGGAGCACGCGTCGTTTGTTTTTTAATTTTCTTTTTATTAAATTTATATGAATATACTGTACGTATGTTACTATATATATACATACATGTGTATATTACACTCATGTATGCATATGCATATACGAGTATGCAATGAATATACATAAATTTGTACATGTATAAAATTTTACAAAAAAAAAAAAAAAACAAAAAAAAACAGAAACCGAAACCACTAAGGAAAAACAAAAAAAAAAATTAATTTTTATTTTTTCTTTTTTTTTAAGAAATTCAAAAAGCACATGTTTCCTCTCAACTCAATTACAATATATATTTTTATTATTAACAGAAATACAAAACAGAAGAGCAGCAGCAATAAGCGGAATGTAGTAGCGGACTAACATTAGCCCGATTTTTAACTTTAAATTTGTAATTTGTTTTTCTTTATTCTTCAATTCCCCAATTTGAAAATAAAAAAAAAAATGAAAAAATAATACACAACGCAACGCAACACAGCACACACAGTACATTTTCCTCATTTTATAATTAAATTAAAGTTGCATGTCTCTTGCATATTATTTTCTCCCTTTACATCTTCTTCTTCTCTTGCTGTTTACATACGTAAACGTAACGTATGTAATTTGTATTTTAAAGTCAAAATCGATTATTATGTTTTCTTTTTTTTTCGTACTATTTATTTCTTCATACATTACATACATTAAAAATGTATAGAAAATAGAAATAAAAAGAAAATTTGTATTTATTTAGAGAAGCGACGACAATCTATGTAAGTAAATGTATATAAAGAGAAACGTCAGCAAAAGACATGAAAGTGAGTAATATGATGTAATATATTATATATATGTATATATATGTAATAAGTATTTATAAAATGCATGTAAATATGTTAAAAATATACAGTAAAATAATTTTTATGCAGTAAAAATATAATATAAAATAAATACAAATATGTAATAATAAAATAGGCATTTTATATAGTATAAATGTGTGTATGTTTGTGGATATAAAAAATAATAAGAAACCAAAATGAATTGATTGAAAAATAACATAATGTTATGATGAGTGATTTGTGCTTCTATCTTCTCTATGCTACTGTACTGTCAGTGTGAACATAAAATATACTTGTCTCTTGTATAATATGAATGAATAGAGAGAATGAAAATATAAAAATTCACTTTATGCATTATAAGGGGTGGGCAGATAGGCAGGTAGGTGCCTATATACTTATTTACCTAACAAACAACAAAAATGAGAAAAAAATAATTTTCTTCCTTCTTTTATATACCATTATTGTACTCAATCATTTTTATTGTTGTTTTTGTTTTTATTATTTTTATACTATTTGAGATTTTTTCATTTTTGGTATTTTTTTGTTATTGTTTGTTATTATTTGTATATTTTTAGTACATTTATATTAAATTTACTTGCGCAATAAATTTATTGATAGGCTTTATAACTACATAGAATGTATATATATATATACGTGTTATAATACAGGAAGACTATATAAAAATATGATGAAATGCTTAGATGGTTTTTTTTATATATTTTTTTAAATTTTTTATTAAAATTGAAAAATAATTGAATAAGAATTTTCATTTTTAAATAAAAATTTTTTTAGGTAATTTTTTTTGATTTTTTAATTTTTTAATATGATTTAAATTTTCTTCCGGCTTTAACAGCATTTAAAGAACAAATAGGATAACATTTCTATAATATGATTATTTTGAAAATTTTATTAGTATTTCTTTCAATTTTCTTATTTAAATATAATCAATAAGAATCATATAGGAATTTTTACTGGAAATTCCATAAGTTGAATTATGCTTCAATATTTATCAACTAGATAGATTTCGAAATAGAGAATTTTCAAATATAAATTGTAGAAATCAGGCATTTAAGAAGATTATATCATTACAAAATACAACAATTTCAAGGAAAATAAATTTGATATTTGAACGAGAAACTGCTATAGAAGATTAAGGGTAAAGAGACTTTGCCATATAATTAAAACTATAAATTTCCATATACATAATTTTGCCTTACTTGCATTTTTAAGTTACAAATTGTTAAAATAATTTATTGCATAATATTATATTTATTATACACTTGTATTAAGAGCTAAAACTTCACCTTCAGTTCGCCATAATACTTGATTATAAATAATCTACGCTTTTAGAGATATGAATATAAGCGGATAAGCTTTATAATTCCAATATACATATATACATTATATTATGTAATATATATTAAATAATTTTCACTATATTTTATGTGAATAAATTTTATGTGAATCACACCAACAATTTTTTTTTACGAATTTCCAATACAATTCTAATAAATCCTTTTATTTAAGAACTATAGGTACTAAAGAAAGTCAACGTTTAAAATTGCATTCTTCTCTTAATTCAAAAAAAAATTGCATTGTATCCTATTGAGCTCTTTAAATTTGATATATATAAATTAACAAATCGGCGACAAAATTATATTGCCGCATAACAAGAATCATTCGTACGTATAGATTGTAACTTAGGTGCGGTATCGTCTTTTTTTGTCAACAATATCGCTGTTTGGTTCTATATTTGTACGGATTTAAAATGTTTTTCTTATATAGATCAACATTCATATTGTTTATTTTCAAAAACACTTACAACTAACATTATACAACTGTAAAGGCATGGCATAAACATTAAAAAAAAATATAGTATTAGAATTAAAGATTTTTTATAAATTTAATTTGTATGGCAAAAATATAAGAACTGTGTCTTATATTTGGCATATACACACATATATATATATAAATATATATATATATATATATATATATATATATATATATAAAATGTAAAAAAATTTTTAAGTCATTTATATAGCTATCGCAAATATAAAACTTCATAATATCAAGTGGTTACAACTAAACATATGTATGTACCTATGTATGTATGCATGTAATTAACATCAAAAATAAATGTATTCAATGGATATATAATATCATATTATAACATCGATGCCTTTATGTATAACATATATATATATATATAGAGCAAAACCATTTTATATGTTAACTCTAATTTCACATTGGAAAAAAAATTCGGGAAAATTTTAAGAAGCAACGTTTTATATGCGAATAAATAATATAAAAAATTTAATTTTGTACTTCCAATTAACCCCTTTATTCATTAATATCTTGTAATACTTAAATAAATATATTTACATAATAAGTATATGTTATGTAATAAAATTTTATTATTTAATGTGCCACTTTTTATGACATAAGTATGTTAGTAATTTTAGCATTGGTGTAAGTATATTTACTGAAAGTGTTTGTACATGCCCACATATATATATATATATGTATATATGAAAAATAATTCTTCAATGCTTTTTAAAACATGAAAAGTTGTTCACTTTTAAATCCTAATTCATATATTTATGTGTTTGTACCTATGTATGTAGAATTTTTTGGTATATAAAATTGAAGTGTATGTCATTTATAAGTACATTTATTGTGTAAGTAATTTAGAAAAAAATAATGAGTAATTTGTAAATGTGGCATTGATTTTTTAAAGTCATTAAATATGAAAATTATTCTAAATGTTTAATTTGGTTAAAGTTAAAAAAAAATATTTTAATGTCTTAATTTTTTTTTTATTCTTGTCACTAAACAAAATATACATACATAACAGAATTTTAATTGTTCTAATGATTTCATAAAATTTATTTTTGTAAGTAAAATTAAAAAAAAAAAACATTCATTCTTTAAATAAATTTTAACGATGTGAGGTGATTTATTTAACAACAATAATTTTTTAAGGATTTTGTTATTATTGTGGGCATATGAATAAGACAATTGGATAATATAAACAATTTCTAAAATTTTTCATCTT